TTAGTGTAGTTTAATGTAATATATATAATAAAATAATAAATCAAGCTTTCTGAAACACGGAGTTAGATCCTCATCTCTTCCTTCAACATGAAACCCCTGTGAGCACGGTCACACAGGTCCCTGGGATGCCACTTTAGGGTATTCAAAGCCAGCCCAAGGATCAGGCCTGAGAGCTGAAGGACACAGACAGAATCCTGGAATGGTTTGGGTTGGGAGGGACCCCAAAGCCCACCCAGTGTCACCCCTGCCATGGCAGGGACACCTCCCACTGTCCCCAGTGTCCAGCCTGGCCTTGGGCACTGCCAGGGATGGGGAGACCACAACCAACCTGTGCCAGGGCCTCACCACCCTCACAGGAAAGGATTCTCCCTAATATTTCATCTCATCCTGCTTCCTCCAGCCCAGGGCCATTCATGGTGCTCAGGAGGCTCCTGCCTTGGGGGTGTGCCAATGGCTGGAGTCCTCATCATTGGTGGAAATAGGGAATCCCTCACTTGCAGAGGGCTCTGGGGAAGGGGCAGCCTCACAGACCCCAGGGCTGAAGGAGTGAGGAGAGGCAGGAATTGGTGCTGCCCTGGTGACAGCAGCTCTGCTTCCACCAACTCTTGGAATCCTGCACTAAAGGAGGGAACAGGCACAGATTTCCAAAGCCTCCACCCTCTGGAATATCACTTTGAGCTGAGCTGGAAATGGAGCATCTCCAGCAGTGTCCTACAGCTGCACGGGTCTGGTTTCTCCCTCCCAGGGCTGATGACAGGAATGCAGCACCTACTTTCATTTGCATCTTTTCTCGGGTTCTTTATAAATGCAGAGAATTTTGCAAAGACATCATTTCCTGCAGAGTTCGACTCGGGGTGCTTCGGTGCAAGTTTGGGGTACCTGAGAAGTTCAGAGAAACAAAAAGAAGTGACTCAATTATCCTTTTTTTTTTTTTTTTTGTCTCCATAATTAATAGAAGGGAGAGGAATGGCAGATTTGTCTTTTCAAACTAACTGTGGGTCTGCTGGTAGATAAAACCAGCACTGGGAGAGAAAGGAAACAATGGGAAGGGTTCCACTGATTGATGAACGGAAAAAGAGATTTGCTTTTACTAATGAACTTTAGGTTTGCTGATAAATGAAATTAGATATTGAGAGATGAAAGAAACAATGGAGAACAAAAACCCCTAAATTCTGTAAGAATTAAAAATGAAAAGGGAGGGTTATATGTTAGAGGGAAATCTTTGGGAAATCTTCAGTATCAGGTGTACTGGGGAGTCTGAACTTCTCAAGTGCCTCAGAAATGGGGAAAAATCCCTAAATTCCATAAGAATTAAAAATTAAAAAGGAAGGTTATACATTAGAGGGGAATCTCTGGTATCAGGTGTTTTGGGAAGTCTGAACCTCTCAAGTGCCTCAGAAATGGGGAAAGAGAGAAGGGAAATGCAGCTGGGAAATTGGGATAAAAAGGAAGCTGCGTCCTCCAAAAAATCTGAGAGATCCCAGAGGAATGCCCCATGGCCTCTCCCTTTATTGGAATACAGTCAAAGGACTCCTCTGTCTCCTTTTTGGACATAAACCCCTGGTGTTTGTGGATTTATTTTCCTAACAGAGGCGTTCACTGCACTCGGCTTCACAGAATCCCAGAACCACCAGGCAGGGAAACACCTTTACCACCATCCAGTCCGACCATGGCCACCCCAAACCATGTCCCCAGGGCCACATCCAGATCACTGGAACCCTTCCAGAGATGGAGATCCACCCTGGGCAACTCACTCGATACCTGACCCCTCCTGAAGGGAACACGTGTCCAGTCTCCAATCTGAACCTGCCTTGGGGCCATTTCCTCTCATCCCCTCACGTGGGACGTGGCAGAGGAGCCCAGCCCAGCTCCCTGCAGGGTCCCTCGGGTGGTTTTGGAGAGCAGAGAGGTGACCCTGAGCTCGCCCTGCCTGCACCCAGTGAGCACCGTGAGCTGTGGGGTGTGAGGAGGGGAGCCCCAGACCAGGCCCGCTCAGAGCAGGAGCAGGCCAGGTTTTCCCAGGATGGATTCCACACCCAGCAGCGAGTTTGGGATGAAGGGCAGCAGTGGGAGCAGCACAGCCGTGACCTGGGCACAGCCTGGGGACACCCCAGTGACTCCCCAGCCCCAGGTGTGCTTCAGAGCCCCCCTGAGCTGGGGGATGCCCCGTGCAGGCCTGAGGGTCGGGAACGCGGTACCGGGGCGGCGCCAGCTTCTCCTCCAGGAACTCCTCGATCTTGTTCACGTCAGTCTTCACCTCCCCATCAAAGGTCATGAACGGGGGGTTGGTGCCTGGGGCCAGGTTCTGCAGGTCTGCAGGTTTTCTGGGAAAGGAAAAGCCATAAAAAGTCCTGTCACTGACATATTTTATGAAAAATCCTTTTGCTAGGATCTTTTCTCCTGAGAAGCTGAGAGGCCTCAGAAATGAAATGTAAACATTGATGATCTGCTGCTGTGGAATGCAACAGGTGCATCTGGGATTGGTCTCATGTGGTTGTTTCTAATTAATGGCGAATCACAGCCCAACTGTCTCAGAATCTCTGGTCACTCACAAGATTTTATTATCATTCTATTCTTTTCCTGTTCTAACCTTCTGATGAAATCCTTTCTTCTATTCTTTTAGTACAGTGTTGGTATATAATTTTCTTTAAATATAATATATATAATAAAATAATAAATCAGCCTTCTGAAACACGGAGTCAAGATTCTCATCTCTCCCCTCATCCTGGGACCCCTGTGACACCACCACATTTTCAGCTCACACTGAAGTGGGGCTGCTCTCCAGTTCTGGATTCACTCCTCAGGTGAATATCTGTAAAATATTTTAGCTGGGTTGTTTTGCAGAGCTCCTGGAAAATCAGATGAACACAATGTTCTGATTTCTAGTAAATACCATGAGAGGTAATTTAAGGTCTGAACCTGCAAAAGTTTCAGATAAACCTCTGGGAAACAACTTCACAATCAGCAGGTGCACTCCTACTACAGCAGAAATATCACCTGGAGATTTACAAATGTAAGGATTTATCTCCCAGCACTTCAGTAAGAGGAACAAACCAGCTGAATCAGTAAATCACAAAGTCCCTCTCCCTCCTTTTTACGAGGCTCTGGAAGGAGCTTTAAGGTCTCCTCAGAACCGTTTCTCCTCCAGGCTGGGCACACCCAGCTCTCCCAGCCTGGCAGAGAAGAGTCACCCTTGAAAATCCCCGTTTTGGGAAAGTTGTGCTGCACGGTTAAAATGTCAGAATTAAAAGCCACAATCTCACCTTTTCAGATCCACGGTTGTGACATTAAAAATGACACCTTTGAGCCACAGGATCATGAAGAGGCGCTGAGAGAACGGGCAGTTCCCAATGCTTTCCCCATCACTGCCAGCCTACAATTGGAAAAATTACAAATGATAAACACATCTGCGTGTAAATCACAGCAGTCCCCCCAGAGGAAACAGCCTCCACCTCATTTGTCTGTGTGGGCATAAATCTGCATGATTAAAATGAGTTAAATCAGTTTATGACCACAGGAAAGGAACAGAGAAGTATTTACCCACCTAAACAGAGATACGATGTCTAAAGCACTGAAGGGAACAAGTAGAATAAATCAATTCATTTAGAATTTCAGCCTGAAGGGCAGTGGGAGCCCTGGAGAAGGTGGCCAAGGAAGTGTTGCTCTCAGATAATTTACATTGCAGTTTGTGAAGAGGCTTTGTTAAAATGAGGCAAAGTCTTGCAGACGTGCTGCTGAGACTCAGTGTGACACTGCATGAGAGCAGGGGTCTCATTTTTAAGCCCTTCACATGATTCTCCTAAAGCACAGCTTTAAAATTGAGATTAAATCAGAGGCAGAAGTACTACAACCCAAGTGTCTCACAGTTAATAGGTTAATTCATTAGGGTTTGCAGCCCTTATAAGCCAACAAAACACAGAATCAAACCAGTTCTGTTTGT